CAAAGGACACTGGGGTGGATGGTGGTAGAGGGTAGAGAGAAAAGCTCCATTTGGGTGAAATGAGTAGACCTGTGCCACCACCCCTACCAGTGGGCCTGGGAGTGTGGCTGAAGGAGAAGGCGGAGGAGAGAGCGGCTGGGGTGGATGTGTTCTCGGGTGTGATCCAGGTCTCGGTCAGAGCGAGGAAGTCGAGTGACTGCTGGATAGCAAAGCCGGAGATGAAGTCAGCCTTGCGAGTCGCTGACTGGCAGTTCCAGAGACCTCCTGTGACGAGGTGCTGGACGTGCGAGGAGCGGATGGGATAGGAGAGAGAGGAGAGGTTACGATAGAGAGCAGATCTAGCCCGAGGCCTGTAGTATCTGCGGGAAGAGATTCGAACAGGCACGGGTGAAGGGGTCAAACACATTATTAAAAATAGCAGAAGAAGGCGCCGCATTCAGCCGCCCCGAAGACTCCCACGAAAGACTCCCTTGTCTTTGTTCTGCTCGTCTTCGTGCTGCGAGGATAAGCTAACGCTTCCTACGATTTCTAGTTAAATACTCCCTCGTTAGTGGAAGTCGGCTGCGGCTGCGCTGGCCGCTCCCCCGTCGTTTAGGAGACAAAAGGTCAATTGGCCTCGACAGAAACTCCTCAAAATGCAAAGCACCAATAGCTTGACACCCTAATCAGTGAACAAACACCATGTGGTCTTTTGACAAAATGAGAGTTTAAGGATACAAGTCTTATTTGCTTCAGAAAACAAGGCAAAACAGACTTAGATCAGGTCAAAACCTAGCAGAGTTAGGAGGGCACACTGGGCAGTTAACTTAATAGTAGAATCTAGAACACAAACTGGCACTAAAAGACTGAAAGAGCTTGAGCAAACTAGCAACCAAGATAACTTCAAACAAAGAGAACTGGTCGTGAGACGACAAAAAACTAAAGCAAATCAGCAATCAAATTAACTTAAGACACTAGCATCAACAGCAGATTTAGCAGACTAGCTTGGTTTAAAGAAAGAGATACTTAGTCCGATTTCAGGTCGCTGGATGTCTGGTGTCCTTGTAGAAGAGATGCACACTGAAATAACTTCCAGTTTGGGGGGCGTGCTCCCGTGTGTGTGTGTGTGTGTGTGTGTGCGTGTGTGTGGGGGGTGTTGTTATTTGCTGTTGTTACGTCAGTGTCATTACATCAGCTCCAGGCCACAGGGAGCTGTGTTGGTGATTGTCTCATTATTGAATTGGCCAGGCTGTGAGAATGGAAAACGTGTTATTATTAAATAAATGGGATGCTTGGTGTCCACTGGAGAGACCCAAGAAGATGCTGATTATATTTGGTATTTATCAAAGTGGTATTATTTTGCTATTATGGTGACAATTTATTTGAGAAAAGAAGGCAAAATAATTGGTGATTTAGTGGCAAATAAAGCAATAATTGTTTAACACCTGCAATAATTGACGAAATACATATATGTGTGTGTGTATGTTTATTTATATATATAATATATAATTTCTCTTGAAAAGTGTAGCAGGGTTTTTTCCCTCCACTTGTAGAGTGGCGCTGCATGTTGCATCAAGGCCCGGAGCTCAATAATAAGGAAATGGAAGTGGTTCTGTCACGAGACACAATGGCTTTGTTGCTGCCAGTCGCTGTGCACGCTAAGATCAGAGTGTGTTGTGATGTTTGCCCCCATCCTTCCTGACAGGGTTTTCCTAAACATTTAAAGAACCATATTGTAGGTATTTTGGTACCCCTGTTGTTTGTGTGTAATTGGTATAAAAGTATTATATAGATTTGTGTACGTGGTTTAACTATAGTGGGTGAGGAATACATGGATAAATTACTTATTTGATTCATTTTTTATGTCACAGGCCAAACAATAATGAATTAATGCAGTTTTCCAGAAGATACCCAGCATGAAAATCTGAATTTTCAATCTAAAATAAGGCACAGTGCATGAAACAGTTCAACTTTGACGTTACAGTATAACTGCTGTGCCCAGATAGTAACAATACTGCTTCTCTTAAATGTAATCTAAATGAATTCAATACATTCAAACTAATACAGGGTATGAACTAAGATGGTAGGAACAAATATTAGGATGTATGTAAAAACTAGAACTTTAGATTAAATGAAACAAATACTTACATTACTTACATTTCTATTTGTAATTAGGGCTGTGCGATATGGCCAAAAATCCATATCACAGTATTTAGAAAGATTCTGACAGCTAAACACCTTAATTCATTGACCCTGAAAAGGACCGTGGCTTCCCCGCCGCTTGCTGGCCAACTTGCTCGTAACTGGCCGGCGAGTTAGTTTGTTAGCGTGTTAGCCCGTTGTGGCTGTTAGTGTTGCCACCAGAGGCTCGACAGACTTCGCAATAAATTGTTTTCTGATCTGATGTAACTTACGTCAAACTTTCCAAAACCCAAAACCCTCCAAACAGACACAGCTCCTCTCTTGGGCACAAGTTGTGTTGGTGCATCTCTGGTCCCTTGTTGTGCTCTTTTCTGTGTTTTCATGCAGCAACAGAGTTACTTCTTGTTGTGAGCTTTACCCAGCATGCAGTTCGGCGGAGTAATTTTTATAAATATACAATTATTAGTGTTACAAATAGTCTATATGTCACAAGCTGTTGTGTTGTGGTGTTTTACTCTTTATACACTTTACACTTTATAAAGTTAGAACCATGACTCAATCTCAACACACGTAAGATAAGTAGCTGCGACCGCTGGCAGCTCCTCGATGACGTGTAATATAAATTATATGATATGTTAAATTATGTGTTTTTGCAACCCAAGAGGTTACGTCGGAAATCATTTCATTAAATTTATTTGACATCTAGCAATGGATGTCAAACAAATAGATGTGTTACTATCTTACAATAGTCAGATTTGTTAATATTGTAGAAAACATTGCGTGGCAGTAAAGCCCAACAGAGGTGTAGCCAACCGCAAAACATTTCATTGCAATTCCAACTTTGAATATTTTGTCCTATCCGTCAGCAATTGTGTGCTACTGCTACTCGCTGGTACCCCGAGCTTTCTGAGCTTCTTCTCATTAACCGCCGTGCACGGCCATTACTTCCATGCGCCCTTTGGTGGGAGGCAGGACGTTTCATGTTTTGCCCCTTTGTGATGGAGCGAATGTTTTGTGAGAGAGTGGGGGGAGAGAGAGAGGGAAGGAGGGAGAGAGAGAGCGTTTTTCTAGCCGGACGGGAGGTCTCCTCGTCTAAAGGTCCCCCCCTCCCTTGCGCCTCTGCGGGCAGCGGTTGGTAGTGGCGGCAGCGGCGGCCACAGGCTGATTTCCATGAGAAAAGAGCATCGCTGAGGTTTAATGGAAGGGACGGCCCCTTTGACGGGACAAGTGGTAGTTAATAACCAGGGAAGAATCGGAAAAGCTCTGATCCCTTCCTTTGTACTTCTTCACCTTCTAGAGGCAGCAATGGGGGGCAGGGGTGACGGGGATGGGGGCATTAGGGACACTGGGTTCACGCTAGAATGGATGTTGTTCACCGAGGGGATGCAATAAGATTGGGCTATTTATTATTTTAAGAAATTAAATGAAACATGGCAGAGAACATGGCAAACTAAGTTGGCCAGCTGTTGATAAGCGTTTGAGAAATTTGGATTCCTTTGTTAAATGAAAAAAGGGGATTTGTATGAGTTGTCATATTCCGCAGGTATGATAACAGGACAAGTAATTCTAGGAAGAATTGTTTGATATGTACCCAAACCCTGTCAGCTAGTAGCTGTTCCTGTCCAAGCTTTCTCATTGTAGTTTAAAAGTAATATGTTGTGTATTAGTTATTTAAAATGTATATGAAGGTTTATAATTTCAAGTATTGTCATTCACTTAGACACTGTGCTACCAACAAATGTTTTAGATTCAAAGTGTGACCGTAACTCATCACATCGGTTCTCGTCACAGGGAAAAGTAGAGTTTGACAGCGAAGAAAGACGCCATTTTCTTTCGCTGTTCTTGTATGACCAGTTGCTTACAGCAATTGGCCAACGCTAGCATGCTTTTCACAGATAATGCTAGTGCTAGTTATGTTTACAACATTTAGCTTTACCAGTATTGCCAGCGGATACCGCAATGTGGCCTGCTAGCTTACTGAGGGGGAAGTAGAGTCGTTTTTCTAATAATCTTCTATAGGACAAAAGGAGTCGCCCCCTGCTGGTTGGTAGAGATAGTACAAGTTTAAGAGCCTTCAGCATTGGCTTCACTTTTCAGGCCTGGAGGTTGCTTGTGTGCACTCTCACCTAGTGCACACCTGTCTGTTTATAGACATATCGCACACTCTCTGAAAACGCGTGCAATAATCTTTTGGTGCTGCGATATTCATTTTACATATATATGAATGTCACCAACATTTAAGTTGGTCGCGCAGCCTCCGTCCCTTTTCCTTGTGGAAAGAGGGGCGGGGCTTATGCAGCGCGCACACAGACACAGAGCGGACACCGACAGGTGAAGAGAAGCAGCGACCCAACCCAAAGATAACTAAGCTAAAATCTCGCTCCAAACAACAACCATCCGCACAGTCTTTCAACCTGAACTACTTTTTTTCATATTTTTTTCACAGTTCCATTCTAATGTCTAACT